GCAACGGAAGAATTCTAGAACGGAAGACAACGTCAAAAAAAACACACTTTCCAACCTTGAAATACAGGCTACAACAAAACATGTGCATTTGCCAAGACTCGCCTGAGACACCCCTCCCTTCGTTTTGATAGTCTCCCCTACCCTACCCGTGCAATCTGAAGGCACGTAGGTACGTACGTACGCTCGGTCAGTCGCATGACAACTAAACGAAAAGAGGTTGACCATATTCCATGGGTATGGAGCTCTGCCCCACGTGCGCGAAGCTAAAAAGCATGGCGGATTCATGTATCTGTGGTAGAGTAGCATCCCACCAACAGGTTGTAAATATTATCCATGCAAACGAAACCAGTTATAAGCAACGACAGTTATAGAGCCACTCGGCTCGAAGAGTTTTATTGAAAACCCCACGGTGTAAACCTTATGATGGATGCAAAATTACGTGGAAATGATGAAGTCTAATAAACGAGGGAGAAACGGTGTAGTTCAATGTTTTAAAAGGATACTTTTCGTGGTAGGAGGGAACAAAAACATCCTCTTTTCTGAATTGGACAGGGCAAGACAGCTTGGATAATTGTTGCTCATACATCAATAACGCATCTGGTTTATTGTAACTGTTCCCCTGGAAATGAAACAAAATATATATATATATATATAATAAGTTAAAAGGCCTCGAGCCAACAGTGACGCCGTTATGTTTATAGATGTATATATATATACACTTATTTCATAATTATAAAAATGTACCTGTACGGTCTCAAAGTACAAAATGGCTGATTCTTTGTTATGATAATGCTTTAAGCAAGACCACATGCCAAATTGCTTCAAAGGCAATAGAAATAAAATCTAGAGGTCCCAGGCATAATTAGCCCCTTGTTTGAGTATTGTTGCTTTCTGCCAATCTGAGTTCAAATCCTACCCTCTTCCTTTTTCACCAGTCAATTGGTTGGGATAGCCTTGTTCCCATGGTCTATGTTTTTCCTGACAATGAGGCTACAGTAAGGAGTGTTAGCAGCTTATGTTCTCTTTAAGGCATTTTGTCTCTCATTTACAATGTTTGGGATTAGCAAGTTGCTGCTAATTCCACTGTCAATGTGTTAAGCTTATTTATTTCTAAACAGAACATAAAAGCTGTTTCTAATATAGACCATGGCGTGCAACATTAAGTTTTTTAGTAAAGCGCTTCTTGTAAGGACCTACAAACAATGAAGAGTACAGATTTCATAATATTGTAAATATTCACAAACCTGGGTGAAATATTTCCCACTAGGCGACAGCACTTTCATCGACATATCCAGAATCAATCTTAAGAATTCCCACAAGGAACCTTTCAAAAAAGCATATCTTTCTACAAGCTACACTTCAACTAAAAAATTTGTCAGTATTACACCAAAAAGTCAGCAAAATACAAAATGTTGGGGCAGCTTGTTGTCAAGTCCCTGTGCCTCAGCTCTTAAATTTTCACTAGATTTGTCTTCCTTCTGGTCTAAACAAAGATACACATGTAGATTTTACAAAAACTTCTTGGGTACACAATTTTAGACAGTTTCATATTTAAAGTTTGCATAGATAGACAACTGATTTACCTCGCTACCAAATATTATCAGACCAGGTTTCTAAAGGATGACCTCCACTACTAGAATGGTTTCTATCTCTTCTCCGGGATGGTATGGGAGTCTGTCACAAGCTACCTTACAGCATTTTGTCAACTTTTCCAAGTGTTGTTTGGTACTTGAACCCAATTTAACTATTTGTGGGCAGTGGGTGGTTAGTAAGACTAAGAGAGGAAAGTGTCTTCCCTATCAGCATAACACCAACAGACCAATGCCCACACTCCAGCCCAGCCCTCTTGATCTGGAGTCCATCATGCTCACAAAAAAAGGGCTAAGACACATCCTTACCTACTAAAAACTGTGGCAAACTTGGCTATTCACTCTATTAAGTGTAACTAATAAATAAATGGGATTCCTTTATCTTGACTTACCTATAGGTTCCTTAGTGACTGGAATTGCTGTCAAATCATTGATAACATAGTCAAATGTTCTTCCTTCTTTTATACACTGCTCTAAATATTTAACACAATCGCCAATGTGTACCTATAAAAATGTGCTTGTATCAATTATCATCATTGATGACTACTGTAAGTGTATTATTTATACATATAAATACCTTACAATAACCTTTGAATTTCTAATTTTAGAAGTTAATTGGAGGATTAATTGACCATGGAATATGGCCAACCTCTTTTCGTTTGGTTGTCATTCAACTGACCAAGCATACGTACATGCCTTCAGATTGCATGGGTAGGGTAGGGGAGACAATCAAAATGAAGGGAGGGGTGTCTCAGGCGAGTCTTGGCAAATGCACATCTTTTATGTTATCATTAATATTACGAACTTGGGAGCTCCACTTTTAGGCTTGGCTAAATAAATATATTATGAAATTAGCATAGGATAATAGGATGAGTTTGAGTCCTCTTCCCACCAAGCTCAGTTTTTAGAAATAATAGAACTCACTGTAAATGTCCTTATAAATTCCATAAATTTACTAGTTCAAGCTGCAGTGCAACAAACCTTGTGATTTTCTCCTAAAAGATTGTCTAAAGCATCTCCACATATTCCTCGTAGATACTTTGTAGCACAGTTTATTACATCTTCATCAATCTTACATAGTTGAAAAATAATAAATTAAGGATCAAGCACTCAACGAGTGAACACAACTTAGAGTGAAATGAAAATTTCCTGCCCATGCACCCAGCTTACCTGAATCTGAATACTTTCAATATATGCATATGAAAAAATAAAAAATTCAAAATAGAAAAATTGATAATTTACTTGACATGAGGCTTTTTACTAGCTGAAAAGAAGACAAATTTTTTTTCCCTTAACTTTGAATATCCAGTATGTCAGATGCAAAATTTAGTTCCCCTTCCCCTTCCCTTTGATGTTAAATGACAGCTCTGAAAGAAAAGAAAGAAGCAGGATTTATTTATTGGGAAAGTTTTCTTTCCTCACGGCTGATAAAAAAAGACATACAATTTTCAAAGTTGCCAAAAATACTCAAAGGATACATCTATCATTGTGACAAACTTAGGAGAGTACTGCAGGAGTTCATTTAGAACTCCACCATCCCCTCCCCCAAGAATAAGAATTGTTTTGTCTTTGAAGTCTTCTCTGCCACCTCCTGTTATGGTCTTGGTATAGATAATGTCACTTTCAGCAAGATCTAGGAGAAGAAGTACAAACTATTGATGATCACAATTCTATGTACACTGTAAGTAGAGATTGAGTATTGTCCTCATTGTATACTGCTTCAATAATTGATGTTGTTTTCAAGACAATTTCTGTGTGCCTAGAGAGTTTGCAGACCATTCCTTGGATCAATGACAATTTGTAAGTATAAATTTAAAGAAAGATGAACTCAAACATTTAATTGCTTTTGCAGGTCCATAATACTTACTTATGTCGCCATCTAGAATAAGGACATTCCCAAACTGCAAGGAGTGAAGAACTTTGATGTTTTGGTAGGGAGAGTTGGTTTCAAATACTAATCTAAATCAAAGAAGGAAGGAACAGATCAGAAACTGAAAAAATTAATTTCTTCTGACAGAATTAGGTAGTTTCAATTGATGAGGCTGATATCCACAGGGGCCCTGCACTAAAAAAAATTATGATTTAAACTAAAATTACATCAAAAATCTAGTTTATTGCTAAAAAACAAATCTCTAAAAATTAGAACCACATAAAAAACTGTTCTACATAGTGTACCTGCCTTTGTTTTCCTTCACCATACATTTCTGATGAATTTCCCACTTTCCATCAAATTATCATCCTGTATATTTATGTACATAATATTATTTAGTATATACTAAAACAGTGGATAGNAACCAAACATAATGACCAGCTCCCAGTTGGCTTGTTAGCTCAGTTGGTAGAGCACTGCACTGGTATCGCAGAGGTCATGGGTTCAAATCCTGTACATGCCTGAAGTTTTTCAGGCCTCATCTTCACTACTGCTTAAATAGTGTTCATTACTGCGAAGATTGCTCTCATACTTGTAAAGAGAATAAATTATGGATATTTTGATGTTAGGATGTCAAGAAGTAATTTACTTCTTAGCAACCCAGTAACTCAGTGACTTAAGGGGGTCAAAACATACTCAGTTGAACAATAATTTTTCTTATATAATTAAAGACTGAACAGATCATGTTATAAAACTTTACATCCTTAGACAACAGTAGTTCCTCTTTTCCACACTGCATCACATCCAAGGTTATCAAGCCACTGGGGAAACTTTGCAGAATCCAGTATCTAAACAAAGATAATAACCATTATTGAGATTACATTGGTTATAATGAAACTCAGAAAACCCCAAAAACTTGATTGAAATATTCATGGAATGTTTTTTGTTCCAAAAAAAAAAAAGCCCATTAGGTAAATAATACATGTACTATTAATAACACTTTATCTTATGGGTGACATTATTACAGATGGCTCAGTCATTAGTTTAAATAAAAACCCTAATCCTAACTTAGTCTAAAACTAATATTAAACAGAGAGGGAAACAATTTTCAATGTAAGTCAATTTCAAAATGTTTAGCTGCAGAGATTTTAAAGAGAGTATCACGTTTCTTTGGAGGTCCCATAAAAAGATCTTCTATGAAGAGACATCTCCTAGGAGCTGGAAGCACTGTAATGGAATTCTCTAAGAGGCATGATAGGATCCTACATTCTTGAGGTTTTTGAATGTGTCCATGACTACTCTTGACATTCAGTTAACAATTTTAGTAGGAAAAAATTTCCCAGACAATGACCATTGCAGATTTTATGAAATGGGGATAGCTTTCTTGTGCAAAAGATATAGTCAATAGTAAGCCGACCTGATATAGCAAAGAACATTTCATTTGATGAATTGTCCTTGAAATCAGCATCAGCTACAATATCTCCCTGGCCCACACACTCCACAGAATAGAGCTTAGTTGAACTACACTTAATTTGGCTTTGGTCACAACGATTCATTTTTCTTACTCACTTTTATGCATAAGGGGACTTTCTATAAAAAAAAAAAAAACTTTAAGCTTTCTATAGAAAGAAAAAAACTTTAGGTCTCGATTGCACTTAGGTACCCTCTTACGATGATTCTTCCCTATTCCGATCACCCTCTCCCTCGTTCAACCAATTTTGTAAAGTATTTGTTAGACACTCGATCACAGACGCCACGCCCATACAACTCATTCTTTGGCGACAGTGAAGAAAATTCCACCCAAAAAATGCCCATTAGCGTGCACCCTCTCTCCTCAAATCTCTTGTAAAGAGTGTTTGTTTGACACTCGATCGCAGATGCCATACCCATACGACCCACTCCTTGGCGATAGTGAAGAAAACTCCACAAAGGAGAATCCATGCCAAAAGTAAGCTTTATAACATGGTGTCTTGCAGGTTCAACCAACTTCCTGGAAGTTTATTAATATAAGTTAACTCAGGTTATAAAAATTTCCTCTTACCCCCCATCTTCTCCAACGAAGATGAACAAACAGCTCTTGCAATCTTCTAGTTCAGTTGAGAAAACAGGACCGCTGGTATATTTTCTCAGAATTTCGAACAGTCGACTCCTTAGGACATCGTCTTTCAGGTCAGCATGGGGAGCTTGAAAATCAAAAATACTATGTCCTACCATGATCAGCAACAGATACCAATCCGATCTTTTTAGCACGTGCACGAAGATTTTGCGACTTGAATCGAGTAGTTGTCGACTGCCTACGTTTGGACGTTCCCAGTATCAGCGCGGTTTCTCCTTGAACGAGGCTCGAAACCTCGTTCAAAACGTGTTCTCGTGTTGTGTGTAGCGTGGAAGGTTTGGGCATGAATTACTGCTATTGTGAAAAAAATGCTCGACGTTTTGAGCTATAAGGAAGAAAGTGAGGCGCGTAGAAAGCGAAAAGATTCTAAAACGACCGGGAAATGTAACACTGCCGCAGAAAACGGCGAAGTTTTGAATGGACTTTCTGTGGCAGCCGACGAAAAACCGCCAGGGACGGCGGTGAGAGATGAATTTGGGTCACAGCTCAAAATAATCCAGATAAATGATCAAGTTCGAGAACTACAGACAATTTTGAGGGACAAGTAGGTTCTTATCTTCTTTTTCAGTCTACCCAAAGGATTGATGCAAATCTACCTCAAACGTTAATAATTTTTGTTAAAAGCTTAATGAAGTCACGAGTGATTGCATAGCCATCGTGATGTGCATACAAGCTATCATTAAATTTCACAATTGACTGAGGTACAAGTTCGAGAGTTGACCTTATGTTCCTTTCCAGAAGACCCGTTTATTGAGAAGCTGGCTAGATGTTTTTGTTTGTTTGTTGTTGTTTTTTTTTACCTCTCTCTTCCATTATTTCCACGCTTCATTGACCTAAGGCATCTCAAGCTCAAAATTGGCTGGATGGGGATAGGTGCTACGCATTTGTGGGGTGTGCTCCACAGTGAGAAGTCTCTTCACAGTTGTTGTGTTTAACACATTTCTAAATAGTAGAAGTTCCTTCCTACTTATCCACTTCTACAAAGATTGTCCTCCGGCAAACCAAGATTACTTATTTGCCCTTTGGCATCTCCAATGTTCTTTTCCTTTGACTGAAAAGTGATATTTGCAAATCTTCATTGGTTACTACCTTTTGTCTTTGTAGAGAAACTGAGAGAGGAGACTTCGTCTTTTATGCTGATCGTCTTGTGAGTGAATTAAACAATGAATCAATATTAGTATCATCCAGGTTTTGATTTTGCAGGTGTTAATAGTCAAAGCTGATTGTTGTTTTTTCCCTAGATAAGACTGGTTGTAGAAGAAGGTCTGAACCAGCTGCCATATGAAACTTGTACTGTGACAACACCCACTGGTAAGATCTTTTTATCCTTGTCAGTGTCAGGAATTGAAAGATTCTGATGCTAAAACTATTTTCAAACATCTAATTATACACATGTGGCTTGAAATACATTCAATAGAATAAGTTAAAGCAAAAGTGGTCTTTATCTATTCCCTTTGCTTTGTTCTTTTTATCACCTTAGGAGCCTCATATGAAGGGTTAGCTTTTCAGAGAGGAAACTGTGGTGTCAGCATTATGCGAAGTGGTAAGTGTGAAGTGAGGAAACAACAGAACAAACAATACTTACAGCAACCTAGCATTCATTCATGTAACAAAATAAATAGACACAAACTGACTAAAATGTTAAGAGTGCTCAGGGTTTTTGCAGCACTGCTGTTTGATAATCAATACTTTCCCGAAAACCATTATGACTGTATAACTTGCAATATTGTAATGTACTCAAATTTAGTTACTCTTGACAAAAATGCATGTTCTCTTTCCATGTTTCAATTATGTAAAGGCATGCAGTTACGTCTGGCTTTTCATCATGGACTTCAAATACAGCATACAATCGAGAAGTATAGAAAGCCAACCCTTTTCATTATAAGTGTGATTTTGTGACCTTAGCCATGCAATACCTTATCAGTAATTGTTGAAAGAATAATTTTCTACCTCAGTTGACAGTAATGTAGCAATCGGATTGGGCAGTTAGCTATTGTCAATAAGAGTATAGACATCACTGCTTGCATCAACGTGTTGCACAACATGTCACGTACTGAAAGAATCATAAAATATTGTTTATTATTATTATTTTGATGTTGATATTGTGGGAAAAAAACAAATTGACAGCAATTTAATTTAGCATGGTCTGTACTCTTATTGAAAACAATATTTTGTCCAAAAAGAGCCACTGCAGTACAATTATTATTTTTTGGGGGGAATTAAATAAGACTTCTCTTGGGTTACCCTGCTCTCTGTCTTGTTGGCTTTATGAGTATTATTTAACAATTATTCACTGAAGGTGAGCTGAATATCGTCGAATAATCCCCGAGACGAAGTCAAGGGGATTATTCAACAATATTCACTGAACCTGAGGCGAATAATTGTTTTAGTATAATTTCAGAGCTGAACAATAGAGAAATTTCTGAAATCATAAAATTTTAGTAACATTTATTAACATTTTATTTTAACATTTTATATAAACTGCATGGAGCGGTTTATATAGTATCATATAAGGAACCACTCAACCAATCAGATTGCTCAGCTCTGAAACTATACTAATTTTTAATATTCCTGGTACTTACTGAATGATATTTATATTCATGTAGCCACAGTTGTGCAAGGTACTATTACTGCTTTTTTATTTTATTAAAGCGCTACGGAGAACTAGTCGAGCTTAGCACTATATAAATACTTTATTTTTATTTTATTTTTTATTTATTAGTGCACTTAACTCGTTGACAACTAACAGTGACCAGCACCTAATTTCTCCTCATTGTATCACCCCTGAATACCACATCATAGTCACAAAAATAAAAAAAAAATGATCATCAGCTAAAGAAACTCTTGATTGTTAAAGAAATTCTCATCATTAGCTCTTTAGAATATGTACAGGACTGTATGGAGAATGTATTTACTGATGTAAGGGTGTGTAAGGTTAAGAGATGCTAAGAATAGCTTCTCTTTAACAAAATACTTGCAGTAAACCCTTTTCAGAATGCTTAAATTGTAGGTGTTTCCATGGAACTCTTTTTGTTTCCTTTTTTTTTTTTTAAAGGTGAAGCTATGGAGAAAGGATTGCGTGATTGTTGCCGATCAATAAGAATAGGAAAAATTCTGATCAAAGTCAATGAAGAATGCAAGACACCAATGGTAATGCAGTTTATTAAACCTAGAGCACAGTTTGGTTTAGTCGAAAGTAGTTTGATTTGAAATCTACCAAGAAGTTTATCTTTGTTTAACATTAACATATGTTGTAATTCCAAGATTAAAAAGAGCAGAGAGTGGTCTGTTAAAACAAGTTTTGAAAGTTACCATTGATATTGATTATGACTGAAAACTTGTTTTCAACAAAATTGCAGTGTACAATTTCATTTGATATCAAGTCTCAGTGCATTACTGGGTGATAACTTAAAGGTAATTTACCCCTTTAACTCCCACAAGTGACTAAGACAGAACTTCTTCTTACAATATCATTATATTATCAGGCAGGCAAGTGATGAGAATAAAGACAAATATGAATTAGGGGATTATTAGTTGATCCAATACCTAATTCTCTAAACTAACATCACAAGAATTGTATGGCAGACAGTAAGGAGAATTAGTAATGAGATCTCAAGAGTAAAAGGGTTCATTTACATTTGTTTTGTCTCCTCTTTATACAAGGTCTATTATGCAAAGTTCCCTCCTGGTATTGATCAGAGAAAAGTTCTTCTTATGTATCCTCTCCTGAGTGAGTACAAAAGCATTATACCTTTTTGATTTTATACATATGATTTGAATACTATATGGGCTTGTATAGAAAAGGAATTTCTCTTCCAGTGTTCAACTCTATTTCTCAAAAGTGAGGGCATTTAACAAGTGAGATACTGAGTTGAATACTCCTTGAGAAATTTAATATTTACAAGCAACTGTGTAAAAAAAAATATTATTTTGTTCATTTTATAAACACCACAAGCCTTACTGACAAGAAAAGTATATTTTATCACTGAATCAACTTAATAGAGAGTGACTTGTCAGCTAACTGGCAATATTACATGTAAATACATGTAAAAAGTTAACTTTTCATGTGTGCAGTTACAGCTCTTAGGGTTACAAATCCTTGTAAAACACTGCAGTTTTATAATAAATGTATTTATTTATTTTATGTATATTCATATTTGCTTATTTGTTGTTTGATTGCTTTGATATAAAAGTCGCAAACTCAACAGGAGTTCTTGCCAAATAGGAATGTTTTTTTTATGACAGTATAGGATTTGACAGTTGGAATGTAGTTTTCACTCTGTGGTGCAAACATATGATTAGTTGATATACATGTAGAGCAATTCCTTTTTCAACTTAACTTGGATAAATGAGAGATGTAGTTGTACAGTATGACATAAATTATTTTTAAGAAAGGGTGATGATCGTGAGTCCTTTGATCTTCTTCAGCAGATTCAGGAGCTACTATAATAACAGCCATCAAGGTTCTTCTTGATCATGGTGTTAAACAGGAAAATATTCTGCTTTTGAATGTATTTGCCACCCCAAACGGTGAGTATGTTTAATAAATGACTGGCTTCAGTGAATTTAGATGTCACTCAAAGGTGATGCTCTTTTGTTGGCCTTAGACTTCTTTCACAGTGCTCTGGAAAGAAGTAATTCCTTAGTTTTAACTTGTATATAAATAAATTAATTTCTGTTTGGTCTTTCTTTCATTTCAAATTTCATATCCATAGTCATTCCTGGGACATGAACTGGACTAACAGACAGATTGATTAAAATTACTCTTAAAAAAGTGTTTTGATATTCACCGAATCGAAATATGGCATCCAATTTGAATTACCATTGTTTTAGACTTACTAGCCTCGTCTTGACGAGGAAACACAAAAGGATCATCACATTTGTGAGAGGCTAGTCAGTCAAGAACAATGGCAACTCAAATTGGACGCCATATTTCGATTCGGTGTATGCCACAGTGTAAGGTGTAATTTGTCTTACTGAACTCTGTAAATTCAACAAGTAATGAGACTTCTTTTACTGTTTGTAGGCCATCCAGATTTTTCTATAATTATTATAATATGTTTCTGCAGGCGTGAAGCAGCTACTGAAAAACTTCCCATCTGTTACCATTCTGACATCAGAAGTGCACTCAGACTGCCCCTCATATTTTGGACAGAGATATTTTGGAACAGATTAATGTTACAGGAAGATATGGAAATGCATTCTCCTTCAAGCTCTTACTAATCTTCTCTTTACCATGGATTCCACAACAATCACTTGCAGAGCCTTAAGCAGAATCATGAATTTTTGTTTTATTTTGGCATTAAGAACTCAGCATGCTAATGTACATGTACATGAAGCGGATGACAGCAAAATGAGTAATGCAGGAAGAAGCCATCAGGGTTGCTATAAACTGTTGACCCCTCTCCCAAAATTGATTTGGATTAACATGTATTCTCTCCTACAGCAGGAACTCATTATGCTGTAGACAGGTGATGAGAAAAAAAACAACTAATCAGGACAAGGGAGTCATGGTGATATACAATGTGCTTAAGTGATTAACAAGGAATCACACAGTAGAGAAAATTGCAAATTAGTTCTTGAGTTGAAAATTTTAATTGAAAACTACTGCATAGGTGTGCTTCAAACCATATTCACACCCTACACAAAACTCTGAAGATCCTGTTTTTAATTTTTTCTACAAGAAGCACAGACACACAGCAACTCGCATTAACTCTGCTTAAAAAGCCAAAATAAAACAATTTTTGCAACAGAAAAAAATACAATTATTTGTAATCTGACTTACAGTCTGCATGGCATGAAACCATCATTGGACACATGCATGTATTGCAATTGTTGCTTTCGTATTTGTATGGAAGTTCTCAACCAAATTAAACTGAACCCACTTATTGAACTCAAACATTGAAAATTAAATTTTCATATTACATAAACTTTGACACCCCTACTCTATTCTGAGACATGATGAGCTGGCAATGTGTGTGGTAGGAGCTAACACTCAACAGAAAAAATACTAGGCTAGAGAGTGTCAGAAATTGAGCCTGGTATACTCTTTGAGCAGCACTTCCCAAACTCAAAGTACACTTGACCCTTTGACCCCAAAAAGTGACTAGTATCCAATTTCTCCTTACAGTTATCAACTCTGAATCCCACATAAAGGTCACAAAAACAAAGAAAATTATCGCCAACTCCAGAAGCTCTTGATTTTTAATCAAATTCCCCTTGTTGCAGAATATGGATTACCTTTCCTTTACAGAGTGAGTGTTATCAAACCATCTAAGGGTTGGGTTGTGATCAGTGGTCACAATAATCTAACTAATGAAACTTATATTTTCACACCCTTCCGTGTTGGAGGAAATCAATCTGGTTACACACATTTTAATCTGATTAAAATTGGGTCTCTATGAATTTAAGTAATCGCCAGAAATACTTCTGCAGTTACATGCCATTTGACTAGTTGAAACGAGCATTTCTTTCTTCATGGTAGGCTTCTTTACTTTTTTGGAATAGTTTGTTTTTAGTCTTAATGTTCTATCCATTAAGCCGGGATTCAAATTATGGAAGGATCTGTTTGCAGCTAAAATGATGAATTTATTAAATATTCTGCAGTTTTGTTTTTGTCATAACTGCACTTGTAAACATTAAATTGAGATGGAAAGGCAATTAATAAAATTATTTTGTCTCCAACCAGCAGGGAATTCACTCTTCAGGTAGCCTTTTAAAAAAAAATCGTATTGCCATTCATTCAAAGTGAAGGCAAATCAGAAATCATTGCTTTTGACCTGTAAAATTCAACAATAAAATACAAATCAGCCAGTTGCTTGAGTTAATTTAACAACATTTGATTTCAAGTCAAGAATAAACGTTTTTTGCCTTGTCACACACTGTCTTGAATACTAGCCTCATTACAAAAGTTGTACTTGATTTGCATTAACTCCAGTACCCTATGAGAGACTAGAATCTATTTTCTTTTACAATTTCACCCCTCAGTCATATATTTAGGTCATGAGTATAAAGGAAATGATCACAAACTTGAGAAGTTATTTACTCTTTAACAAATTCTCCTTGTCAGCTCTTAAGGAAATGTATGAAGAACAGTGTGGAGAATATGTAAACTGATGTTATGGTGTAAAGGAGTTAATAACTTCCCTCCCCCACCCCCTTATTTAAGGTGAAAGCAACAATTAAGTAAAATCCCATGAGAGGAAAAAGTGCAACACTGAACTGGCAAACAGGCTAAAAATATTAAACTTTATTTTTTCAATTTATGTTTATGCAGATTTGTGGAATTACTTGTTAATGATACAAAACTCTGATTTGGTTTTTAAGAAAATGGGTATCACAGTTTGCATATTGCAAAAGGAAATCTATTGAGCTATAAAATGATTATAAAACTGTCATGATAAAGTCGATCAATCCCCAAGTATCAAAACTGATTCAGTAATGAATTTGTTGAGACTTATAATAATGACACGAGCCCTTTGTGTTCATCAGTTCAAAGTTACTTTGAAGACTTCAAGCAAGATCAATTAATATCGGATTTCAAAGGATGACGGGCTGCAGCCTAATGAGTCACAATTATCCCAACTTAAACGTGTACAATGCAAGGCCTTGGACTACTACTACATTTGCTGGCTTAATAAATACACAAAACGTTGCAGTTTACACTACAATTACATTAAAAAAAGTACCACTGGAATTGAAAAAAATAAAAAAAAAAAACCCTAAGGGCAAGTTATCTGCTAGGTCTAACCTGAACCATGGTTTTAAGCAACCATTGGGTTCCAAGGATTCTCTAAAACAGGGTTGATTCAATTAAATAAATGTTCTTCCACTATTAATTTTGACCCTCTTGGTGCAGTTCACATAAAGATGACTTAATCATATACAATGGCCATTAGAGTATATAACCACTGTATAAACAAGAAGGGATCTCACCATTGAGTCAAATAGTGCAGGATCTAGACATTTCTAAAATAAGTACCTACATGTACAGCTGATATTTAAATCTAAAGGGTCATCTCCTCTGAGTATAAAAGAAGAAAAGGTTAAAATGAAAATTATTGACCCCACCCCAACTCTAAACATGGATTAAGGAGCAAAGATCAATATTATTTGAATGAACCTAAAGAAAAGTCAGATGAGGTGACTAAGGCATTTGTATCAGAGTAACATGAGCAGAGCTGGCTGCCAATTTCACAGTAGTTACTTTAGTTTATCTTAATGTTCCACCAACCCAAACTGTACTAATTAAAACTGTAACTTAGCAATTTCTTGACCATTGGCCAGCCTAGTTGTAGCCAGAATCCCAGTTTCAAAGACATGGAAGGGAACCTGGATTACTAAGTTCACTGGAATCTTCAACTGTAACATTCTTTGCAGACAAAGTATGCTACATCTACTTTTTAAGAAAATGAGAGTAATAAAAATAGTACTTTTTCTCAACAAGTTAATAACAGAGATACGAGTCCCTTGCTGAAGACTGTAATTGCAGTAAGGCAGTCTTGATAAGCATTCAAAGAGCATGTCTTGTGATGAAAAATATATCTGGGTATTAAATAACTAGCTGAGCCATGTGAATGTTTGTCTTCATTTCCAACCTTTTTTTGGCCACAGTATAAAATTTTACTTCAGTTTCAGGAATTCTCCTAAATGTTCTCCTTCAATGGCAGCCTCAAATTCTTCAAAGCCCTGGATTAAAAAAGACAAAGGTTATCATTAGAATTCAGAGTTCAAAGGTAAGCTAAGTTCAATGAGTTAGCTGTTTTCTGATATTTTGAGGATTTTGTAAAAAGAAAAATTTTGAATTTAAATTTATTACATGACTGTGTAATTACCCAATTTGAGCCATTCTTGATCAGTTTGAGCCATTCTTGGGATCAATTTGAGCCATTCTTGATCAGCCATTCTTGAACCAATTCTTGATCAGATTTCTGGTTCAGCAAGTTTTTCCATTTTTGTGAAGCCTAGTTTATTGGTAATGATCCCAATATTTTACATGGTTGAAAGGGTTCTGAAGTCACAGAAGCACATCCTCATCCTGGCAGAAGTTCACAAAGTGCACACCCTCCCCCCCCCCTTAGATTTCTCTTGACATATAGGACAACTTTCAACTGAGTGTCAATTAACCCTTTCACTTCCAAGATCTCATTTATCTGACTATTAATTCTCCTTACCATCTACAGCTGCTATACAATTCTTATAACATCAGTTTGGAAAATTTGGTATTGGATCAACTACTAACCCCCTAATTGATATTTTTCATTATTCTCATTGCTTGTCTGCTTGATATTGTATTGTTGTTGTAAGGAGAAATTCCGTCTTGATCACTGATAGGAGTAAAAGGGTTTAAAGTAATCTATAGCTGAGGATGCATTTGTTTTAATTCACTTTGCTCCATGATTTGTCTAGAAAACTTTCACTCTCACATACAATCACACACAAACCTAAATGAGCCTATTGCAGCTTTTTATTTATTATTTTTTTTCCAGCCTATTGCAACTTGATAACTCACAAGTTTTTTTTTTTGACTTTGGGTTTATCCTGAGAACCCCAGTGATTATTTACTTCTTTTTAGCTGTGGTTCTTTAACAGCCACTTACCCTTGACCCCAAGAGTAAAAGGTAAACTGAAGGTAAAGCCTACTTATGAGCCATGTGGCCCATCAGGCCGGCACTTAACTCCCGTTTCCGTAGCATGAAGCGGCTAGGAGCAATTCTACTCCCTCCTGGATGGGATGCTAGTCCATTGCAGAGCTACCCCTAGCATTAAATTCACAAGTACCCAGTTAATTCTCCTGGGTGAAGAGAGGCACTGTGAGAGTAAAGTGTCTTGCCCAAGGACACCATACAAAGTCCCCAGCCAGGGCTCGAACCCGGACCACTTGATCCAGAGTTGAGCGCACTAACCATGAGACCACCACACCTCCATACACCCCTAGGAGTGACTAGCATCTAATTTCTCCTTTTAAAAACACCTTCAAATCACACATTAAGGTCAGGAGAATAAAGCAAACGATCACCATCTAAAGAAGCTCTTGATTGTTAAACAGATTCTCCTTGTCGGTACCTTGGGAAAGTAGAGAGAACAGTATAGCGATTATGCAAACTGATGTTAAGGTGTAAAGTGTTAAAATGCATTCAACTTACCCCACAGTATTCATCACCATTGGCAATCTGAGGAGCTAAGGCTCCTTCATCTCCCACAAGTTCCCTCATTTTCTCTAAAGCATCAGAATCTTGTGCAACATCAATTACATCAAAAGGCACTTTATGTGCCTCTAATTGAGTGCGCATGTGTTGTTGACGTTTTTTAGTCTGGACAATGAAAGCAATTGAATGGTCAAAGGAGATCAAGAGAAGCAAACAAAAATAAAAGAGATTAATTAGCTGGTAAATGAAATTTTCTTTGAAAATCTATAATTATACATACAATTTTACATTATTTTCAACATTACATTTGAGCCTCAATCTAACATTTGAGTTAATCTAGTTTAATTAGGCTATAATTCTTAAAGGACAATTCCAAAACTCAAAATTACTGCTTAAAACATTCCAAATTCAATGTTGACAAGATTTAAAATTCTCCATGGTTTAAAAATTTTCAGCTACTGTAATTAAAGATCATGACATCTCTCCCATCCATTGTTACCTTAATTGCCCGAAAGATCAATATTGTTCTTCAATCTTGACAGAATTCTGACCATCCCATACTTAGAATTTTGAAACCCATCTTTAAAACTGGATATAAGTGTTTTCATTCAGCCTTCATTCACCCTCTAATTTTTTGAGCACTTCCACTTTTACCCAATTTCTTCACGCTGCTCCAACCCCAAACATTGCAGCAACATGACAGTCTATGACCAAATGCTAACAGTAAGGGTTTTATGCCCTTATCTTTATGGATAATCTGTGAACTTTTTTTTTTTGAGGTGATTCCTCAGTATTGAATTACACAGTCATCCTGTACTGCACATAAAAATCATGTAATAAGCCAGCACACATTCAGAGAACATGGTTATAGGAATGGTTTTTCAATCAATGGACCAAGTTAAGGGGTGCAATGGTCTTTAGCTCATAAACAAGCATGTATTTTTTATTGCATAATTTTGGTGTACAAATTATCCCCTGTAAATTGGAGAAATTAAAAAATTCATCAAAGAGAAAAAAAGATTAAGCATAAAACATTCATAAAAACCAATTATGCAAATTATGCAAAGTATAACCTTGAAAGCAGTGACAATTTGAGTCTGATGTTTGAAACTGGGTGATTTTTCCTCAAATTATATAAATATATATATATATTGTGGGAGGAAAAAGACAAGTAAACTACAAGTTCATCCCTACAAGCCTGTTTCGTGGTCACCCACTCATCAGGGGATTTAATGAGAATAAACTTTACCATTGCTTATATACAATATAATTTGCATGATCTAACTAGTCTAATTTATATATATATATATATAATTGTTCTATATGCTCGAGAATTTCTACCCATCAAGTTTTTTTCATTGTTACTCTTTCAGCTACTGCAAAATGTACTGTGAACCAATGAAATAATGTGTGTGATTAGTCCCACTGCAGGCATAAATGGGTTAAATTTGAACTGTCATATCTCTAAACCATTAGTGCAGTAATCTATCTTTTTTATTGTATTTTTCTAGACAGACATTAGTAGGGAACATTTGAGGAAAGTTAAAAAACAAATTGTTCTATAACTTTTTCTCTTTTGAGGAATCACCTTAATCTCCTGTAGACAATAGAACATTTTAAGATGCCAGAAACTAGGACTATAGTTTGTCCTTCTAAATGTCCAAACTTTCAATCTTGTATATGTGGTAACCTCAATAGTACGTTTAGATCCGAAAATGAAACTCTTTGTCTCAAGCAGTATCGGAAAACAATTTTTGCCATAAGAAATAGCCATAAAATATCACCTTGTCTCAAATTTCAATACCATAGGAATGCTTAATCACATTTGACTTATCCGTTAAATAATGGTGTTGAGCTTACTCCAAAGTAGTTAAGTGAATTAATTTAATCGGCACATCTAAAATATGTGATAAATTTAGACATCAGAAGTTAATTTAAATCACGAGATAGTTTGTGAAATCTGCACAAATACAGACACGCATTGTGATTATCTGCCACTAAATGATATGTGAAGATAACAAAGCTCGGGTTGTTTTGATGTTCTCGAAGATCCCTTGTGGTCGAATATCTGTACAAATATGCTAAGTCTTCCAACCCAACAGGCTGGATCGCTGAGAAAATAAACTTTTAAAATATTCGTCTAGCTAAAGGTTTCCGTTTCAAAGCAAAAAGAACTCGAAGCGATAGAATCCTTATTTTTCGCGAAAAGACTGAAGAGTGATTCTTATGAGAACTTTCACAGTCATGATCCTACTGAATCGTTCCTTGAAGCACAAATGAATTATTCATTCAAGCATTGTAAATTGATCTTGGAAAATTTTTGTTTTAAACTTCGGCATGTAATGTCGCCTAGAAACTTGTATCCTTGGTTTAAATCATCTCATACTTACCTCCTTGTTTCCTGAGATATCGGAGACGAATAAGGTAACTTTTCTACTCATGATTCAAACGAAAGTGTTCTTCAGATTGAGTGAAATGGGAAACAAAGCGTAAACTCAGCGTCAACCCACAGACTACACCCCCTGCAACTCGTGGCAGGCGGCCACTGCTTGGACGGGGAAAACTGGTTACAAGAGTAATGTTTCACGCTTTGAGACATGTGTGACTTCGTGAGACCCGAGATATAATCCTCTCGGAAAGGTTGTATTAAGATCTGGTTGATAAGAAAACAAGCGAATATCCTTCCCTGGCAAAGGATTTGGCGTTGCAGGTAGATTTATGACCTGTTAGGGCGGAAGTTGTTGTGTGACAAAAGGATTGATTGGCATCGAGACCAGACCTTGAATTTCCAGTTGTTTCCTTTAGCTTGAGGGAGGATCTAGAAATTGTTGCGTTTTATTCGAGGAAGGATTTGACGATTTGTACTGAAGCTTTACACCGAAGATGGCAGACAGGATCAAATTATATTTGTCGTCTGTCTCTAGTAATTTAGAGGTGAGTTCGGCGCAAATTGTACTATTTTCTTCTTTGAATCTCTAGCTTTTTCCACGAGGGTGTTGTTTTCTTGTAATGTGATAAACTGACTACACAGTCTATTGCAATGACAGAATCTTTCTTTGGTTCTGGCTACGTGTTCCTAATATTTTAATCTCGAAGTAACTTTAAGCTGTATTTGTATACAACAATTGCTTTTCCAGGGGGTTCGAAAGTTAAAATTGATACTTGATACGGAGGGTGCAGTAGTTCAAACTGTCTCCATTTTAGATTTTATGAAAGTGAATTTAAATGTATTTTCTCGTAATGTATTTGAAAGCAACTTTCTAGATTATAGGTACTCAGCAACGTGTCTCAACGTGACGTTAATTAGTCTATATGATAAGAGTGACCTCGGGCGAACGGGAGGAAGTCAGGCGTCTAATAGCTGTTGAACATGGACGTGAAGACAGAATTAACATTTCACATTATCAATATTTTTAAGCACCATCGATGCGAATAATTTTTCTTCATCATATCTTGTGTAAAAAATAGAAGTGTATTTCCTTTAAGCAAGTACTTGGAAAGAATTCAAACACAGCGCAAAAATTATTTCCAAATACAAAAGATGTTACAGTATTTGTATATATGATTTGATAACCCATCCATAATTACAATGTTGTGTGAGAAATATTTTCTACGATCAAGATAGTGTCAGCAGATTTCAATCGATATCTACAAAGTTTAAAGACCTTGTTTTGGCAAGCATTTAAGAACAACAGCAGCATGCTACATTCACCCTCACAGCATTCATATTAATAACTCACAATTTAATATTTGTTTTTTGCTAGAAGTTGATTTTTTATGCAAGATCTCAGTAAGATTTTTCATTTAGACACTAGACCTCTGAGGATGATATGAGCTTCATTTTTATCTCTATTTATATATACTTACCAAGTGAACATTATTTAGAGATTTAATCCACAGGCATGTATTTGCAATCCCTCAGACAGGGATGAATGTAGGATCTTTCATTCTTGGTCCCAGGACCTTCTTCTGGTGAAGTGTAGTGTGATCATCTACTGGCAGGTGGAGATAGAGTTGAAAGCACCATTGTTGGTGGGGATTGGGTCCATCATCTTGGAGGTCATATTCAGTTTTTTTGAAAAGTCATTCACAGCCACCAACAATGGTACTTTTTAAGATCTTCCTCTGCTGAGTAACCACACTTCATGATTCATTGTTACTCCTCTGGACCCAGTTGTTTAAAAGACAGTCAGTGAAAACCCAGGATTATAATTGGAAATTGTCCATGATTTGTCACAAAGTAAGGTGTTTATTATGGCTTACATTTCTGAGGGTTTGACCTCAGTGTAAGACAAAAACTGTGAAGCAACAAAACTAAATAAAAAATTTTCAGCTAACCCCAGGTTAGCTTAACCATGCTTTGAACAACTTGGCCCTGGGTTCTTAACCCACTTTCATCATATAGAACTTATTATTATTTTATATATATATATATAACTGCAGACAGTACTGTTTCGGCCTTCTGGGCCTCATCAGTGCAGTGCTGATGGAAAAATATTGTAGTACACAAGGACGGACAACTTCGAGCTAAGAAAGACATATACTCAAATAAAAAGTCTAAGAAAGTTTAATAAAATATGTTTCGGTCCGAGACCTTCATCAGTTATAATACCTATAAAATAGAGATAGAAATGATAAATGATGATGTCTTTAAAATTTAGTGTACCCAGAATTTCACATGTACCGATACTGTTTTTTTTTTTCTTTTGTTTGAAATGTTGTATACTGTATTCACATGACTTTTACATTATATGGATTGTGGCCACAAAACTTTTTGTATAAGTTATATGTTGGCTTCTTTCCAGACCAAGAAACACCAGCAGAAAATTGTAATGATCATGGATAGCAAGAGAATTGATTATGACAAAATAGATATTGCTGCCAATGAAACATCAAAGACAAAAATGAGGGAGGTGATGGGTGATCCAAAAGGTTTGCCTCCACAATTGACAAAAGGTGATCAACACCTTGGGGTGAGTAAAAGTGGATGTATTGCTGCTCTTTGTTAAAGATGCTTTTACTGATTATGCAAATGCATTGACATAGTCAGTGTGACACTTGTGATCTCATAAGTACACATGTGGCATATGGGGAGTTAGAACCTGGAAATTACACTGAATCCTTGCAATTGAAGCTTGTCATCTTACCACATTAGTCATTTTGTTATCAGTCAGAACCATTTTCTCTGGAATAAATTAGCAAAACTGTCAAACTTGTACTTTTGAATACCTGTGCACAGTGACCTAATGTATGCTATGAAATGTGATGTAGCTCTGTCAGTTATGAACTAAAACAAACATACATTAAGCTATTCAATGTAAGATTAAAGGCAAGTATCATCAACAACTTTAATGCCTATCTTTGTAGGGCTTTGCCGAGTTTGAAGCTGCGGTGGAAAATGAGGAGCTCATGATTTTTTTGAAACTAGAGTAAATGAAGTAAAATCCCCAAGATGCAAGCTTGTGCAAAAGTCAGTTGCCATGTGTAGCTCAATGTTACAGTTTAAGTTAATGTGAATTAATGACCAAAGAAAATTTACTTCCTTTAAGTAGCAAAAAATGTGAATAATAAAACCATTGTTTAAGTGTGATGTGAAGTATGACTTTTTTTTAGCAGGAACAAGTTAGTGGTCCTTTGAATTCTTGTTCAGCCACATGTACATGTAGTGTCGTTAGTAGGAAAATCCTGCAATGGCAGGGGTACAAAATGTATGTGTTCTTTCACGAACAAAATGTGAGGTCCATGCCCACAAAATAAAACCATTGAAACTTTGCAAACAGTACAATTTTGTTTCACAGCTGTCCTATTATTGAATGCCATTGTTCATGCATGAATATCATCTCTTCAAACTTCTGAATCAGAAGTGATAATGCAATATTTTTAGTTCAAAAAGGTTCTTTACAGGATAGCATGTTTTTCCAGCCGGCTCTATTCATTGATATTGAGTTCCTGTTGCTGTTCACATCATTTACAGATCTATAACATATGCTCTGAGACAGTTGGTTTCTGGAGCAAAAACAAGCTAAGTTCACCAGCTTGTAGCTAAAAAAATTACTTGTTTATTTGATTTTATATTTGTTTTTATAGCAATGAGTGTGTAAGTAAGTGTCCAAAGAGGACAGTATTTATGACAAGGTAATTGGTTAAAAACCCTTTCTGAAGCTAGCCAATTACTTTGACAAGTCAACAGTATTGACTTGACTTCCGTTTTAAATTTGCATAGAGAGGAGAACCCTCGGCTGTAAACAAATCTCTGCGAACTATTTTACGGATTTGTAAACGAATGCAATCAGTCTGGAGTTTGGAAACAAGAATTCGTGCCAGAGCAAATAGACGGGGTGTAAGAATACTACCAAGCTCATACCCAGAGCCTCACCAACCAACGTATTTATGCGCGATTTCAAAACATAAAAGACCCTGGGGACGAGTTTGGAATGCTACTTGTTGCTTGGTAAATTCGGAAGTACAAAACGCGGGCTGCCACAGCTCTTTCGCGGACACAATTAACTAGTAGTTGCTCTGTAGACTTCAGTGTTGTTATTTTGGCCTTCGAAGATTTTATCACACGGTGGATTCAAGTTGTGCGTCATCGTTATCGTTGTTATCAAGTTTCTCGTGATCATTCGTGGAGATTTCTTGTCTGCCGCTCTGGTCTTCCTCTTCTTGGATGGTGGCCTTGCAAAACCAGAATGACAAGAAATAGAAAATAAAGGCGAAACCTGAAAGACAAGACATAAATAAAATGTAGGATGACGATTAAAAACAGCCAAGTTAGACTGCAACATCTGAAAAGTAGTTCTAAAGTTATGCCACAAATTATTGTATACAGGGAAAAGTTTTGTTCTTCAACCTATATGTCAGGCAAAACTATTGGACATCTCTTATCTTAGGAGTAAATTAGGTGTTGCTTGTTCTTTTGGACCACCGTGAATCTCACAAATGGAAGAAAATCAAACGTTCAGTAACGCGAGAGGCTCTTAACTGGAGCGTCAACATGAAGCGTCAAGATAGGCCTTTCCCTCCCCAGGGAGAGTATGCCAGTTTATCGCAGTTTATCTCCCTACCCTCCTGGTGCATACTCCTTGCTGAACCCAGGTCAGGGTTCTCTAACCCAGAGCTCTCGACCTGAAGAACTGTACGCCAACCGTTAGGAAGACGTGTTTTTCATAGACATACGAAGCTAACCTGTGAAGCTAAAACCTGCGTATCCAAGCCGGTTTGTCAGCTTGTCAATCTCGTAAAATTGACAGTTGCCTCTCTTTCCACAGCTCTCTCCCCATTGGACACAGGTTCCATCAAAAATGGCGCCGAAAAGAAGCGGTCCTGGTAAGAATCCAAGACAGCGCTGGATTATAAACTGGAAGCCGAGGGCGTATGCTCTCTGGTTGTAAGGGACACACCTAGAATGAAATAGTCACATCTTTAAGTCTAGTTTGCCATACACGAGTTATAACTTTCCAAACAACGAGGAGGTATCTTAATTTGTACTGACGGGTTCTGTAACAACCTTCTTTCTGAGACTCGGGTTATTGCCAATCGTATCCCATCTAAGTTTCTTCAAAATCGGTAGATTACGTGGGGGTTAATAATTTTATAGATGTTTATTTCTAATTTTATGACTAATTAAAAGAATTTTGAAATTGTGTTTCCATTCCTTAGCCTCCAAGTAGGGGTTCGTTTGTTGTCCACATTTCAAGGTTTATGAACGTTTTCAATGGATACCAGACTAACAATATAAAAAAAAAAAGTGTCGAATATAATCTTGGATTGCAAACATCTGGATTTTTTTTCTATCAAGAACTCAGTTGGAGTTTCAGTTTTGGTTTTGCGACACCCAATCGAAATGGGCTCCATCTATTCCTTGGTGACTTACCTTAGCACCACTGTCTTGTTCGCTACAGCCGTGATAAATACAGAAAACAGCACCAAGACAAGGAAGACTACAAAGGCAATGTAGGTCAAACAGCCAGACGTATTTCCACAGTAGCCCTTCACAGCTGAACCCCTGCTTGAATTGCTTTGTGGTTGAATACAAGAACAGTTTGTAAAAGTCTAAGGAATGAAAAAAGGAAAATTCAAAGATAGGCCATGATATTCTATTCAGAACTATATCTAAAACTTTTGTTCCACAACACATACAACACCTTTACATCCTGAACAGAAATTTTCAAAAGGCTCGTGAACACCGATTATTTGGTTAAAACACGTAATTACATCAGAGGCACTTTCAGTGGACTGTCGAAAGTGGTTCGGGATTGCGGCTTTCGTTTCGCTTTACCTCTGTCTGTGATTGGTCAAGAGAAACTGCGCCACCATCTCAACCAATCACATGCAAAACTAAAACCAATCAACTCTTGGTCACTCGCTTTTTCCTGCGCTTCCGGCAGAATGCATAATTTTACTTCAAGTTCTCATTGGCTAATACTGATATCAACTTAGCTCTGACTGGCATTGGCGAAATCTTTTCTAGAGTTCTGGTACTCCATCTTTCAAGGGAAAAGTAAATCGTCTCTCAAGAGTGTTGGTAAGGGAAAAAGAAACCTGAGTCTTGAATCCGGACATCTTGGATTTCAGATCCTGTGGTCACGGGAACGTAAGTTTTGTCTTTGTCCCTCGCTCGTAACAATTGAATAACACATCTTTATCATCCAACACAAAAGTATAAAAATTAACCGTCTTTCTTGATCCATGTACGTCTGCATTCTTCATATTTTTACAACCAGCATGACAGGGCGAAAAATACGCCAGGTTATCTTCTCCACAAACGGGATTGATGGCGGCCAGCGAGCAGCTACAGTTCAGATTACAAGCCACCTGCAGTCCATTCTCTCCAGGAGCACTAAAATAGGTTTCAGAAAATAAGTACATGCACAGAGAATTTTAAAATTTTACCGAGCCATTATCTCAAAATAGTTTTACCTTCTAACCACAAGCTTAGCTCAGGTTGTAGAGCTCCGGACTACCGTGCGGGAGGGTGAGGGTTCGAGCCTCGGACCGAACCAACACTAAGGGTTCTTAAAATAACTAAGGAGAATGCGCTGCCTTTGCTATGGCATCTCCAACTGTATAAACGTTCTTGTCTTCTCGGATAGGAACGATAAACTGTAGGCCTTATCTCCTGCATCTTCTCAACCTCTGCACTCACCAGCTGGCTAACAGGAGACGATTAATAATAATAATAATAATAATAATAATAATGATGAAGGTCTTTATTAAGAAGTATTGTGCAAACAGACGTGCAACAATTAACATGAATAGAATGAATAAGGAAAAATAAAAGGTATTAATTACAATTGAAAAGACATCTATTAATAAAAACTGATTTAAAACGGCTTCTCTGAACCTTAGGTAAAATACAATTATGCGACCTAGTTCTCAACTGCCGTGTTCTCTGGGGAGGTAAGAGATCGCTGAACGCAGTGTTGGTGGAAGAGATCCTTTGCCATAATTTCTTATCCCTATTTCAACGGATATCCAAGATACTGTGCTGCTTTAATCAGTAACCCAGCTTATAACACGAGTTGAAATTTAAGAGGGGGCGTAGCTCCCGGGGATGTAGTCTGGCCTTGTTTTCCTTTGTTTTCCTTTCAAAAAGGTTGTAAACTGCTTAGTGCAGTCTGGTTGAAGTTTCCCGCAAAGTAATACAAAGCGTAATAGAGCATATTCATATGGAGAATGGGCGATAGAAATGCATCATTATCATTATTATCATTATCTTGATGAGTTGGTAACAAGTCAGGTTACCCTTGAGGAACGGTTATCTAGCGTCCACTCCAAGAGAAGCATTAATAGCATATGCAATAGGAACCGGAATAAACTTCGGCGTAAAAGCGCTATTTTGCTTGTAAGACTTGTACCCTCTCTTTAACCTAACCTGTTTTTTTAATCTAACCTGTTAATATCTAATCTTAAAGTGCACCTAAACCCAAAAATTTTTTCGCGCAGTCTGCATTTCACACATTTTCACTTGTTTGGGAAGGTTTTCGTCGATATTGTCCGAAATTTGCCGACTAGGTGTGTCGTACGAGGAATACATGAAGCGAGATACACTCTTGCAAATTTCGCACGTTGCTACATCCTCGTTCAACACACTTAGTCGGCATATTTTGGACAAAGATTGATAGTTTCTAAAGAAACTGTTTGGGGCTGCGTCGGTAGGGGTAACGAAATAATTTGGATATATCAACAAAGTTGAAATGGTAAATTGGCCACCGTAACGATTACAAAAGCTGACGTTTCGAGCGTTAGCCCTTCGTCGGAGCGAATATTGGACAATATCGACGACAACCTTCCCAAACAAGTGAAAATGTGTGAAATGCAGACTTTCGTGTTCTCAATTTGACGTCACTTACCTGCTAGAACCATTCCTCTTTAAACTCGGTCGTGAGCCAAGATGGCGGCCGATTTTCCGCATTTTGACTGGGCACAGAAAATTGAAGATTTGAGCAAATAAAAAATTTTTGCACAGAAATACTCCAAAAATACGCTTATTTCGTTAAGCGAAAAAAATTTGGGGGTTTAGGTGCACTCTAACCTTTAATCTAACCCGTTTTTGTAAGGAGCTGTTATTCCTGTTACATCCGGTACATCGCATCCTGGAATGAACCACGCAGAGCTTCCTATGACAGTGAAAATTGAGGCGATAACTAAGAATCTTGCTGCCATTTTCAACGACGTCTTCAGGTCAAATCGTCGAACAAGCACTCCACCCAAAAGCACACCACCTAAAAAAAATAATAGTGTTATTTCCGCATTCTTCACCGCCTGTGATGCACGTTCAAGTGGTCTAGGAGAAATTGGGGAAACTATAAATGCTTTGATTGGTTTTGACCCTGGATGAAATTATATTTGCGAGGATGGCGATTGTTTTTTAGATGGCTAATGAGAACCGATGCAATCTCGAATCGGATAATTTTTCGACATTCAATCAGTTAATTTCTATATAGTCGAGGAAAAGTTTGAAGGTAATGTTTCTTGCAGGGCCTAAATTTCCCAGAAAACTTTATTAAAGTATAGCAGCAGAAAATCATGTTCGCGGTTGTGAAATTGAATCAATGTCAGACATTTTAAAACCTGTCACCAAGTACGGTTACATACTTACCCAAAGTCCCCGGCACGAGAATTACCCCAATGATGACTCCTGAAAGGAAGGCGCTTAGTCCAAACTTCAACTGAAGAATCTTTGCAATGAAAGAAGCTATTCCAGCGCCAAATAGCGAACCGGATGTTGTGGCCAGCGTGTTGAAGATAAAAACAGGTGACTTGATTAACTGCATTGTAGCTGGTAAGAGGTCCTTCAGTTTTCCCTTAATTCTTTTGTCTTCCTTCGGCACATAACCTTCTTTAAGAGCCTGTTCGCGAATACGTCGGGCCCCAGGTAACTCTCGAGGGAACCCAAGAATAAGACCTGAAATAACGACAAGAATAGAGCCCCCAGCCAGGTACCCCAGCCACCACGCTCCTATCCATTGGGAGTCCTTTGGGGTGAGATTTAATCCTTCTGGCTGTCAGGTTGAAGAGGACATGTTAGTTTTGATCATTAATGAACGCTTTATTGAATATTTGCTTTTACTAAAGAAAGCAAAAGGTATGTTTTAACCCGTTGCTTTTGAAAAACTTTCAGAAGAAAGGGTAATCGCGGCCTATTAATTACTGAGTCAGGGCAAATAAGAAGGTATTGTTAGCTGACTAGTAATTTCCCAGAAAGTGGCGTAGTAGACCCTCGTTATGTTGTAGTACACTGATAACAAGAGACAAGCGCTCTATCTGGTTCGATCAGACAGAAATAACTGAATATATATACCTGTGTGACGTCAATGTAAATAGTCAGCAGTGATCCACCCGTGACGAAACCTAATCCAGGCCCCAACAAAGTCATAGAAAAAAAGATAGCGAGATACACTGGTGACGACTTTGGGTGTACGTTCTCATCAAGATAGGCAGGTCCCAGGGTAAACAGCGGTGTTGCTCCTGCGCCCATGAGCAATTGAGCCACGAAAAAGATGAATAGGTAGTACCACTGGCCACCATAGTCATCAAAGCAAAATTCTGAGGTGTCATTTCCGCTTAACCGGCAAACGTCACCGTCGATGAGTCCTCCGGTTGAAGCCAGAGGCTGGTATCGTCCAACAAGGCCTTGTGGAAGGATGAATAATAAGCACCCTATACCTGTGGTATTGATAATGCTTGTTAATGTATCGGTGCTTTACTTGTAAAGTCATTTTTAACATAAAAGCCGTGCCAAGACTTTTCAAGATTGTCGTCTACAATTCGCGCAAATAAATAATCTTCCTAAATAATCATCGTTGTCTTGTTGCGTTTGTCTTCAAAAGTAAAGCACTAAAATTCTAGGGTTCCTGTCTTTCCGTAGACATTTTCTGTATCCCAGAGGCAACTCAAATTATTTCGATCTTTCTCCTTTAGTATTTTTCATTTCAACCATTTCTTTTTGTTCGTTCTTCTATTGGCAAGCTCTAATTTGGTTACTAGTCTCCTCCGTAAGGACCCTAAACTATGCATACCAGCGCATTGCATGTTGCATGAAATTCTCTGCTTTACCTGTAATAATGGAGCCATATCCGAGCCACTTTATCTTATTCCCATATGTTCCATAAAAGCTAACCAGCGTAGTTAATAAGACTCCTGCGATATCATTGGATGCTGCAACGAATCCCGCCTCAGCGCTTGTAAGCTGAAATCTCTTCTCTAAAGTCAATAGGAACAGATTGGTGAAGCCGTTTACTGTCATACCTATAAAGATAAAATGGAAACAATGATAAGGTAACAGTGTCTATTACAGTGAAACCTTCTACTCACGAATCAAAGATTGCAAATCGATTATGGCATACTGGCTGTAAACTGCCCCTGTTTCCGACATGAAACTAGCGGCCAACAGAAAGCAAAATACCAAAATGACGGTCTTGCTGTGCATTGTTGAGAAGTATATTGTTTCAAATAAAATACTGGGGGGGGGAGATGGAAGGAGGGGGAGGGGAGAGAGGAGTAATCAAAGCAGCACACTGATGCCGCATATTTCCCTTGAGACGTAACAAGTAAAACTTAATCCCCGAAGTTATGATAATTTCTAGCAGTTGTAGGCCATTAGGTCCACAATGACTTAACCCTACGCGAAAACTTTGCAAAGTTGGACACAACAGTTCTTACTGGTTATCCGGTCGTACCTTGAATAAAGGAGAAAAACGCTATGGCAACTACAAAACACTTGGCACTCAAAAGGAACTGTAAACACTGTGGCTTGAAGCTTCCCCAGCCGTAACGAAAATCTTCTTCCTCTGCATCCTGCTCAACGTCAGTGTCAACATTCAATGGGGTCTCCTCTGTGTTATCGTCATTATTTACCTGGCCATTCGTTTCACTCATCTCAAAAAAGAAAGGCAATTGAGAAACTATTGATTATAAAAGTTCAGGGTATGCTGTAGGAGTGCTCCTCCCCTAACACCTTCAGGTAAAGCGGAGAGGCTTTGCACTTAAGTGTGACTTAGTATTTGATTAGGTGTCTCAAAGTTCTTGACGTTGTTAGTTTGTTGGAATAAAGGAACCACTGTTTGGTTACGTAACCAGAGCTGGTTAGACTCTCAGCACTTGACTGGCGTTATCTATTTTTGCCTGTTTGTGCTTGCCCATTGTCCGGTATTGTAGCTGTTGCACTGTGACAAAGCATCCTTTTGTTTTGGCGATTGGCATATTTTTTGTCGCAAAAGATAGAGACTGCTCGTGAATACTGCTACCACGGAAATTGTATTTCAGTCCGTGTACCAAGCCGGGAAAATTTGAAGTGTTCCAAAGAGTGCTTCTGACCCTCCGATTAAAACTTCAGACGCTCTAGCGGTGATGTTTCAACAGACTGTAAGGTTTTGCACCCAAGGATTGCGTAACCTAATAACAATGTAAATATCTAGGATTTTTGCGTCACGCAATAAAAATCAAGAAAACAACTCTTGGAAGTGACAGCGGCTGTGAAAAGGGAAATGAAAGAACACGATAACGTGACTCAAATATTGGATTTGGTGAATAACTAAAAAGGCATATCACACGATTCGTTGAGTTGCGTTACACGAAAATACCTTATCTGTCAGCATCACAATATTTTGATTCGTTATCACCTCAAAAATAAACAAAGAGCTTAATTTTGGTTGTGATAAAAAAAGGTAGTGCCGAGTTCGTCCGGCGTAGCGACTTGTTGTGCTGCAGAAATGGCTTCAATATCCTAGGGAAAACCCTGCACCTCTATGCAAACTATGTCATTTTCACGGCAAATTAAAGTTAATTTCAACTCCGTGCGCTTTGGAATAATAATTAATCCGCCCTTTGTTTACAACCGATTCTTTTCAGCCTTGCGTGTAAAATCAGTGAGTCTGAAATAACATGCCCAAGCATGTCACCGAGAATTTACTCTAAATCGTGAAAAAATAAAACTTTAGTCAACGAAAAGTTGTCAAACTTCTACTAACTACGTGTGCAATATTTCAATATAACCAAAATATCAAGTCCTGTTCGAGAATCATCAAACAAAAACGACGTAACGAAAACAAATCTTGAACCAGCCTATCTATCAAAAGCCTGAAGAATTTGTAAGTCGCTCAGGACTTTATATGGAGCTCGAAAACGCGAAAGCATTTCACCTTACCTCGGATGACTTTTCCTTTTTAAATAGCACAGTCACGTTAACAGAGCAGCCGACGGAAATGAGCTGACAAGGTTGACGATAGTTCAATTAATACCCTGCCAATGAACCGTAACGAATCTCTCAACCAATTAAGATTGCTTGCCGCACTCCTTTCTCCCTCGGGTGCACACAGCTCTACTAGGGAGCTGAGATCAGGCAACGTAAAAACCTGCGTGTAATTGTTGTGGAAGGAAAAATCTTTTCATGGTGAAATGATCTTCAAAAGAATTTTCCTTGAAGAGGTCGGATGAAGTCGGAGTTCATATTAAACCACACATAAATACAGAAGGCGAGGGTTGTGTTTGTGCGTGTTTGGGGGGGGAGGGGAGGGGTTGTGTGGTGTGTGGGCATTTCCACTTATTGGGTCACATGTGTATGTGCAGTGTACGTGCCACCGAACATGGTATGGTCTACGGGGTTTCGATCCCCCAATATTGTTTACAATTTCTTCAATTAGCGTCTCACCTCTTTGGGCCACAGCCAGTTGAATGCCCACAATCAAAATAATTTAAGTGTCCGAATACGCTAGATTTGACTCCAGTAGTTCGATAGTGCGCAACCTTGTTACCTGTCAATTACGGTTAAGGGTATGAGGCCTAAGTGGCACACTGAACACCTCCCTTACCCGATCATTTTGATGACTCAGAGTGTCAATTATAATTAGACCAACATTAGATGATGTAGCGTGGGGTTGCTGCGCTAAAAAAAATAGCCAAGCATTAGGGGCGTTGTAAAAGAAGAAGAACAAGAACAAGAAGAGGAAGAGGAAGAAGAATAAGAAGAAGAAGAAGAAGAAGAAGAAGGAGAAGAAGGAGAAGAAGAGGAAGAAGAAGAAGAAGAAGAAGAAGAAGAAGAAGAAGAAACAGGTAGAATTTTTGCTCTAACAACTCGCAGCAGTACTGCAATGGACATTCTTAAGAGGCCTGCGCTAGAAAGATGCCAAAAACATACATGTCACCTTACAAATTAATGTTTTAAGGAACATCGCCATCAATATTTTAAAGTGGTTTTACTTAAGCTTTTAACAAGATTCAATCGTGCGTGTCTAGGCAGAGAAATCTGCTTCATTTACCTGCTGTCAGAAAGGAAATCGCAAAGAGATCTTTTTTCATTACCACGGTTGTATTATTTTAAATCATTTTTCTAGACGATGACACATAAGTTTTTTTAGGGTTAAATTTTAGTATTATCACGTGTTAACATTAATTTCCTGCAACTTTTAAATAGCATTAATTTTATGTCACTTTTAAACTTCAAATTATAAAGCTTTTAAATAACAATAATTTTATGCAACTTTTATATGACATCTATGTAGCTGTGCTCAGGGCTCCCATTGATGACCTTCCCCTCCTTTCCGTGAGGAAAGACTTCGTAATGTCTGGGGCAGAATGGTGCTAAGTTCTGATGCTATAATTAAATAATACTTAAGGCTGGTTTTCACTTGCGACAGAGTCGTTGTCGGAATCGTAATCAGAAGTGTGGAGCGATACGATCTAGTGAAAATCAGACCGACGGAGTCGGAAGCAGAACACCGATTTTGCCTATGACTCCGTCGCTTATGATCTAGTGAAAACTGCATTGTCGGAGTCGGAAGCGGAAGCGGAAGAATAGACCAATCACAATCCTCGATTCCATCTTTCCAAAATGCACAAATAGCCGTAAAAAATTTAAACGTGTGAGCTTGACGGTAAAATTACGAAATTAAAAGTTAAAATACTCGAACTGAACCTACCGAACTACTTTGAAACAATCACTTTTCGAGCATAGCTGCAAAATATCAGGAGCGTACCGCGAGAACTGATTAGTAGTCAATAAGCTGATTGTCCCGTTTTAAATGCAAATGCTATTGCACTTTCTAAGTAAACACCAACCAAAGCGGCCGTACTACCTATGCCTCGGTCTCCTCAGATTTGTTGCAAGTAAAGTTTCATTTTTTTGCTGAATGGTCGAAACTATCGACGGGGTAGATAACAATAATCAGAAATCTAATCGATTTTAGATGTCTGGTTTGGCATGCAAACACGTCCTCTTGAAAATAAAGCTCGTAGATTGCTGCGCAAACAGTTGATGGTCCTATGTGCGAACGAACAAAACATCGATTAGTGTCAACTAAACTAAAAGACGATTTGTTAACATTTTAAAGGCGTGACCTTTTGACGTTATCACTTCTCTTTCCATACGTGCGCACTAGGATGCCGAGGTTACCCAGGATGCCGAGGTTACCTAGCTAGGATGCCGAGGTTACCTAGGATGCCGAGGTTACCTAGGATGTCAAGGCTAGGGCTGATATCATGCAAGTCCTTAATGCGTTAATTGGTTACATATTGGGGAGCGCTCAGGAGACGTCATTTTCATTTGTTTTTCGCCGAAAATTAACGTCATTTGACAGAGAATAATTGAAGAGTAGAGATAGATTGGTTCAATAAATCGTTAAAGCTAACTAAATGCAGACTCGTCCAGAGTTAACATGGCCTTTTATCACGTCGATCGAAGTGGAGCTGGTTTGACTTCATTTTCTCGAATCATGATTCAGCCATCAGCTTGCCCTAAATGTTTCCACGCTGAAGCCATGACGATTTCTGACGCCCTGAATGTCGCTGCTCACAGTTTCCAAAAAGAAACTGGCTCCATTATTCGTGAGAGCCAAAAAAGAGGTTGGTAAAAAAAGTTAGTTTGGTGATATAACCACTGAAGCACATAGCCAGTGATCGTGCTTTCCTAGTGTGAAAAGTAGCTTTCAAACTTTTACCGAAATGAGAAATCCTCGATTAGGAAAGAAAAGATAAGACTGTACACATTTCACAGACAACGAAGGACGTAAGTAGAGAGGAATTAAAAAGAGCAATTGAATAAGGCTTTCAAATATCTGAATTTTCTGAAATGTAAAATTCTTGAAGGAGAAAGATTCAAGGAGCATCATATCCGTTTCGTGAAGAATGTTATTTCACTAATCTAAAAACGAGGAAGGAAATTAATGAAAAGACATGAAAAATATACCATCCACGCGGCCCAAATTAATGAATGAATGAGTGAATGAATGAATGAATAAATGAATGAATGAATGAAATGTCTTTATTTTGCTCGTTAAAATACATAACAAATGTTACAGAGAGTAAAGGTATATAGATTATTTACAATAATTATGTAAAATCAAATAAAACATAAGATATATGCTGTTACTTAGCCAAGTTTTATTTAAACCTTATTCTATTAAAATAGCAATTCTTAGAACGTTCAGTAGTAATCCGTGGTCAGTTGGCTTGTTTGTGATCTTAACGTCTTGGATGACTCTTTGACTTTGGGCAGAATTTCTAGTTCTAGACGGTAACAAAACTTGCAACGGATTCAATTGTTTTCCCGCTGATGAATAGCAAGGTTTGACTCGGAAACGGTTGAAACCACATCCTTAACATAGCACTTCTTGTTCATATTGCCGTGCGCATGTTAAATGAACTTGTCGGACGCCAGTACAAGCAGCTGACGCAGATTCTTCCTTTAATTCGTTTAAACATTTCTGGGCTGGCATTATCGGACGAGCAATGAGTTCCTAATTTGTTTGTTTTTTTTTTCTTTTCTCCCATACAGAGCGTCAAGATGATATAGCCAGAAGTCATGTGTAGGATTTCTAAGATGAGCTCGGAAGGCTGTCTTTGACGGCTGTTTAATGATTTTCTTAGCAGTAAACGTCTGTAACCATAAGATCGTAGGTGCTCGCGCGAGCACACGCAATTGTCAGCGGTAGCTAAAACAGATCATGAGCAACTGTCGATCTTATAGAATCCAGATTTTTAAAACGCGCGTGGAAATTGCTAAACTCACGAAAGCTATTGCATGAAAACAAGTTCGGTGACCCCTTCTTTTTATTGCTCCAATATGATAATAACGTCGAAAGGAATCATCAGAAAAAAAAACTAGAAAATTCTACGGATGGAAATTTGTGATGTGTGAAAATTGTCCTTTTTGTAGGTTTTCTGAAATTCCGCCCCGTAGAATTTTTTAAAAATCTTTGTGCATTTTCCTTTTGAAGTGCCAAAAGCAATCACTGAAAAAAATCAGGGGCTCACCGGGTTAGTTTTCGAATTATTTAAGCCACAAGCAAAAAAATGCGCTGAATAAGCCCATGAAAGCGTTACCATGGAAACTGCTAGTGACGAAATGACACTTATTTTTGAATAACCAATGATTATGTAATTCAACTCCGTAAAAGCGTTCAACTGGCCTTCGTCAGTCTTTCTGTTGTATTCTTTCAAAGTTACAAACCATCAAAAAGATGAAAACCGGTACGAGCCACCTTAAACCTTATTCTATTAAAATAGCAATTATTAAAGTGCATATGAAGCGAAATCAATTTTTTAATATTTTGAAAGTTCAACATTTTTAAGATGCTATCCCAAAGTTTGAACTGTGTTTGAAAAAAATTGGCGATTTTATAACGCCTAAAAGTTGTGTGATTTTGCTCTTAAAAATGGTCTTTGAATCGCGCGGCCAAATTTTCCGATCACGTGACCTGATGAAGTAGTGCTGTGGACAAGACTACGAGATTGCAATATGGCGGCGAGTGAGAAAGTACCAAGAGGAGGGAGATATTGCGTCGCTGGCGCCCCTAACAACCAAAGTTGCACTAATTCGAGCAACACTTAGGGCATAAGAATGCATCAGTTTCCTGGTGATCCAGTTGTCAGGGGCAAATGGGTGAAATTTGACCAAAAACATCGCCATGATTTTGAGCCACAGTCGAAGAATTCTTCATTGTGTTCTGCCCATTTCGAAGGAAGTTGTTACACGCAGAACTTATCGGTCCTCGGCGTATGGAGGAAGGAACCCAAGTCCGAGCTATTTTACTACGGGAAGCAGTTCCAACACGAGACACCATTGTTCCAGCAGTACCAGGAGTGCTAGTGCTCAGTGAACGCAGTAAAAAACAAGTAAGATAAGCTCACGTTTCTTTTTGCTGTTTGCATAAACATCCAATCCAACCCAGAGTAAAGATTTCAAGCCGTATGTTGAAATATTTATGAACAGTCAAAGAACTAA